GCATAGTTTGTAATAGCCAGATCTTGGAAGTGTCCATCAACTGAGGAATGGATAAAAAAGTTGTGGTTATTTTTATACTATAAAGTACTACTCAGCTATAAAGAATGATAACATTAAGATATTTATAAATAAATGGACACAACTTGAGACCATACTCATAAGTGAAATAAATCAAACTCACATGTATAAATACCGTATGGTCTTCCTAGTGTAAGAAATAGTAAGAGTGCATAAGATTTTATGGTTATCATGATTCCCCATTACATTGCTTTGAAGTCTTATAACGTTTTCATTGATTAGTTGAAACAGTTTTATTCTGTTTTGTTTGATTTTACTATCTGTGATTGTATGAACAGCTATTTTGAAGAAAACAAAACATTATGATATCCACTGATGAGTTAATATCATCTTGCTTGGAAGTCCTATCATGCTTTTGTTTTTCTGTTTCCATTGGTACTATTATGTTGCATCTTACTGGATTTTAAATATGCGTGATAATATAAACTAATTTTTTTGGACAATGAGACAATATAGTAGCCGTTGTTCATTCTCTATTACTTGGTTCTGCATGCCCTGTAATACTTTCATTCTCTTTAATGGTTTTAAACTATTTTGTTACGTTTGATACTATTGTATGTGAAGGTGTGCTCAACTATTTCAAAGAAAGAGACATAATGGTACTACTGTTAATATCATGTTGTCTAGTGGTGAAGTACAGTGTTGCTTACATTGTTCTGTTCTGTTTTGTCTTAGTATCTTTTTAAAAATTTTAAAAAGAAACCAAAACAGCTGGTCCATGGATATAGCTCAGTATATAAGGACCTTCCTGGCAAATACAAGACTCTGAGTTTGGCTACAGGTAGAAAAAAAAAGAAACCACAAGAAGTTCAGGGGCCGGGGATTTAACTCAGCGGCATAAGCACCTGCCTTGCAAGCAGGCAGTCGTGAGTTTGATCCCTGGTACCGATAAAAAGGCAAAAAGGCAAAAAAATGTTCATAAACACATGGAAATTAAATGACACCAAGCTGAATACCCAGTGAGTCAAAGATGGAATTTAAAAAGAAATTAGACAGCTTCTACAATTAAATGATAATGGCAATACAACATACCAGAATTTATGAGACACAGTGAAAACAGTCCTAAGAGGAAAATTTATAGCACTGAAAACCCACATCAGGAAAACAGAGTAAGCTCACAGAGAAAACATAATGCTGAACATCTAGCTTAAGGAAAAACAAGAGCGTGTCAGATTTAAGATCACATGAAGTAAGAAACTTTCAGTCAGAACAGAAATTAATGCAATGGAGACTAAGAAAACAATGCAAAGAATCAATGAATGCAAAAATTGGCTCTTTGAAATATTAAACAGGGTGGAAAAATCCATAGCCAGAGTAATCAAAAGAAAGAAGGAAAAGTCTCAAATCCATGCAATTAGGAAGGAAAATGGTGAAATGGCAACTGATCTCCCAGAATACATACCTCTTTCAACAGCTTACATGCCAGTAAAATGGAAAATGGAGTAGAAATACACAGATTTCTTGATATAGCAATTACCAAAGCTGAATCAACAAGATATGAATATTAAATAAATCAATTTCAGTTGATTAAATTGAAGATGTAATTAAAGACCTACAAATAAATAAATCTGAAAGCCCATATGGTTCACACTGAATTGTATAAAAAAATTAGAGAGGACCTAATGCCACTGTTTCTCAAACTCTTTAATGTTCTTTTCAGGTAGATATTATCAGAAACTCTTCTCTTTGCAGTTTGCTGTTGGTTATCTCTAACAGCAGAAGTTTCTAGCCCAACTGATCTACAACATTTATGATAAAAACAGGAATATAGAACAAGTAACTCAATAAGATGCCTAAAAAGGATGTAACTCCTAAAAATCTATCTGGCAGTCAATAAAGTGGAGAAAGTGTCCAGGAAGCAACTCAGAAACCAAATGGTCAAATGTTTGGAGAAATCAAAGAAGAAAATGCATACCATGTTCAGTGAGCTCAAACAGGATGTAAACAAGCTGAACATTTTAATTAATAAGACATTTGGCAGCCTTCAAGAAGACACAGACAGCTGACTGAATGCCACAAGACAATTCAGAATATGAATTAATGACCTAGGAAATAATTGATGGTTGTAAAAATGAAGAAAGCACAGTTCCTGGAAATGAAAAGCACAGCTGAGCACCGTGCCAGAATACATGACCAATTAGAAGAGAAAGTACCAGAACTTCAGGACAGGAAGGGTGTAGTAGATATCTCAGGGATTCTTCTTGTAACAAAAGAAATGATGAAAAATCGATCTTAGAGTTCATCAATGACTCTAAAGACACAAACTGAGCAGTACAGAAGTCAATAAAAGACTGAAGAAACAAAGGAAAGTTCTAAACATTTTTCCCCAAAATTATTGCAGAAAATTTTCAAATCTAGACACTGAAATGAACATCCAGATAATGAGGCATTTAAAACCCCAAGGAGATACGTTCACAAAGGAATCTCTCCACAACACATTATAGAAAAAATCAAAGAAAATCAGAACAAAGAAAGAATACTAAAAACCCCTAGAGAGAAATATCAAGTAACTTCAAAAGATAAACCTATCAGAACAACAGCAGATTTCTTAAAATAAATTTTAAAGCCAGGAGAGGCTAGAGGAGTTATCAAGTTCAAAAGCATTTCAATGCACATTATAATATCCTACCAAAATATATTTCCATGTTTAGGAAAAAATACAGAAGTTCCATGACAAGGAGTCATTAAGGGAATTCATGACCAGCAAACCAGCAACACAAGAAATTAAAAATAAATCAAAAGGGAAAAAATAAATGGATTAGTGACACAAAAAGAAACAATGATGGGCAATAGTTGGCATCATTCAGTGATAACTCACAATGTAAATAGTTTATAGATAATACTTTAAGAACAAAAGACCACAAGGTCAGAAATTGTCGATATTCAAAATCTGAGCCAGGTGTTGGAGCAACTGCCTATAAAACAGCATTTGAGAGGCTGAGGCTGTAGGGTCACTGCAAGTTCTAAGTCATCCTAGACCACAAAATGAGTTCCAGGCCAACCTGAACTGCACAGCAAAATCTTATATCAACAAAGACCAAAAAATTCATAATTCAAGTATGAATGAAAACAGTAAAAAATACACATAGCAACATGCTCCAACCAGAATTGGGAGTTGGAAAAACTAATTCAAGCAATGAATTTTTAAAAATGTGTAAACAACTAGAATTTTCATTTTGAGTGCTAAAATTTTTGGATGGAGGTGGCAGTTACCATAATGTGCGCCCCCAGAAAATTCCAAAAGAAATTTGTTCTGCACAGTTTAACTTTGTAAAATAGTTTTCCGTTTTATTAAGAAAAGCAAGACAATTGTAGATAAGTCTTCTGATCTTTTTAGAGTAGAACTGCTTGACTTACTTTAAATGGCATTTAGGATGTCAGGTGTTTGTCTTTTATTACAAGAAATTCAAAATTTTTCCTTTGATCCAAATAAGTGGATGAAAATACTCAAAGTGTTATTGAGTTATCCTCAGCAAGTATACTCACTTGCTGAGTGAAGGATTTGATGACACCCATATTTCTTCACCGTGAAGCTAATAATCTGCCTACTGAGGGACCATGGTGAGAGATAAGACCTTACAAATCTTTGTTGGTCGTGGGCATGGAGTCCAGAGCCTCCAGTAAGCTCAGGTAAATGTACTCACCCTGACTGACAGCCTTAGTGTTTTCCAATATTTTTCAAAATAATCTTCTTAATTTCTCCAAGTAGCCCCAAAACCCAAATGGAATTATAGGAATGTGCCAGTCTACCCAGCTGGCTTTAGGCTTTTATATAGACAATAAAAGTTGGTGTAATTCTCAGGGTCTGCAAAGCAAAGGAATTAACACAGGACACATAATTTACAGCAATATTTTATCATATGCACCCAAAGTTTCAAATGAAAAACTATGCAGGAGATCCATCCACACACTAGACATGCATAGAACCCAGCTAAGGGCTGGGTCTCACAGCAATGCTCTCCACCTGTCCAGTTATATACCTAGAGCCCATGACAGAGTCCACTCATATCCAGCTAATGCTTAGAGGACATGACAATACATCATACAAGTCTGCATCAAGGATCTGCACTCAGTAGCCCAAAGATCAGTGGTGGAAACCAGAAAGACTTACCCAGAAGGGTGAAGGACCAATGCCAGCAGATGTGGGCCTCTGCACTGGAGCCAGGAAGCCACACTGAGTGGAAAGACCCAGTTCCCTTGAAAAGAACCACAGCTGTCCTCAGTGACAGGGAGGACAGGAGCTCCTCTAACAATGAGGACAAGTGAGTTCGTATCAGGAAATCCAGTGTGAAAACCTTCACCAGGAGAAAAACAGCATCTTCCCCTTTAGTTCTGCTTTGATGTTGTTGGTAGTAATCCTCAGTTAGGTGTGCCGCACCCAGAGCCATGCAACTCAGTTCAGCTGGAAGTTTCAAGTGGTCCATTCCTGAGTCCAGCACAAGTGCACTCTCTCACATGGTGTGGACTGAGGTGCTGGGCTGTGTCTTTTCCCTATCATTGACAAGGTCACACTGATTGTATTTGGCCTTCAAACAAGGAAAAGACTATGTGCAGAAAGGTTGCACCTTCCTCATATTGAGAAAAGGCGAAGAACCATATGGGAGAGAGGATGGGAAGGGATTCCAAGTGGCCACAGGAAGGTATCACATGCTATAAATGTGTGTTCTTTATCATCACTGGAGTGATAGTTTCCAGATATTTCAAACAATTTCTGTCTTACAGTCACCACACACTATCCTCAATCTTCTCTACCATGTTATCTTGAAAATAAAAACTACACAGACACACACACACACACACACACACACACACACACACAAACACACACGCACACACTCAAAATCTGACTGTCCTAATCTGCCTATTGCTGCTTTGCTTGCCATAACAGAACAGCAATCAGCCAAGAGAATGGTGAGGAATCATCTTGTGCACCACACAGGTCATCGCCAAGGTAATCATCAGTGAGGGCAGGTTCCCCTTAGCTTATTCTAGTTTTGGAAATCACAGCTGTATATTTACCCCTGTATTTCAGGTACAGGACAGATCTGGCACCTCGTATATTTTGCAGGTTCCCTGAAGCACTTTTTGCTTAGGCTTACCTCATCACAAACAGATCTCAACTGCACATCCGCATGGACAAAAGATGCAGGCTAAGAAACATGAATTTTCCCCTCCCAGAGAGTGATCTGCACATATCTCTGTATCCTGGGGACCACAGTCCTGTCTGGAATGGGCACGGCCCTAAACACTGTGTCCCTTATGGAGACACAGGTTTTCCAAGAATTCCTTGTACCCACTGCTGCACACAGCATGGACTGTAGCTCTATTGTTTTCCTCCAAATACAGAAGAGATTTTATACCACTGGGCTCACATGAGAAGCCTCCCCCCATGCTCTTCACTCTTTCTGCACCACTGCACCCACCAGGGAATTTTCATTTTGCCCCAGGGAGGACATTCCCTGGCAAGTCTCACATAAAATCTGGCTCTAGCTTTGCCTTACCTGATTAGGATGCTTCAGTCCCAATTCTCATAATGAGGCTCCCTCTTCAGCTCCTGGGGCTGCTACTGCTCTGGATCATTGGTAAGGACACCAGGAGATGAGGAGGGGCATGGAGAGAGGGGGTGAGTTTTGGGGTTCATCTGCTGCCTGGCTAAGTTCAGTACATACATGAGATGCACATCCCTGACTTGAAGCATGGGAGTGTGAGTTTAGATCAGTGAGGGAAGGAAATTCCTGAAGGACTGAGGACCAGGCTTCTCATGAAGATTGCCTCAAAGAATGAGAGGGCTGCCCAGATGAATTCTAGAGGGAACCTTGTGATTAAAAACCTTGGATACAATCTCAAATTTGAAAATTTTCCACTGCACTTTAAAATAAAGATACTAACTTCACTTGATAATGATAAAACAGAAATCTATCAAAATGGCTCATAATGTTCCTTCCTGATATTTCACTTCTCCTTCATCATTTTAGGATCCACAGGAGATGTTGTCATGACCCAGACCCCACTCTCTGTGTCTGTGGCCCTGGAGAGCTGACCTCCATCTCCTGCAGGTTCAATCAGAGCCTCCTACATAGTGATGGAAACACCTATTTGAATTGGGTGGTGCACAAGCCAGGCCAGGCTCCAAGGTATATAATTTTTCTGTTTTCCAAAAAGTTATCCTGGACCCAAGACAGGTTCAGTGGCAGTGGGTCAGGAACAGATTTCACACTGAATATCAGCAGGGTGGAGGCTGAGGATGATGGGGTTTATTATTGTATGCAAGATTTATATATTCATCCCACAGTGCTAGAGCACCAAACACAAAGCTCCCTGCCTGGGGAGACCCACAGCACAGGCTGCTCTGCATGAGAGGAAGAGACTGAAGAATCAGAACAATAAGTTGCAGCTGAGGCCTCTGCCCAGGCCTGAGAGTGAGGAAAACAGCAGAGCAGCCAAGACCTGTGCTCTGCTGAGGCCTCTGACACAGAGAGAAGGCTGAAACTCTCTTCCAGGGGTTCCTTTGAGCCCTCAAATTTCTGGGTATTTTTTTTAAAGAAAATGGATAAAGCCAAACAAGACACACAATAAATTTAGCCTAAAATGACTATTAAATTGTAGTGTCTTATGATTTATAATCGATATTGCACCTTCTTTATACCACATGATAATCCAATGGGTATATTGGTGACCATGCTTCTCTCAGCCTGTCTGCAGCTCCTGGAGAGCTTCCTGCATCTCAGAATAGCAAAGTTGAGGGCTGGCAATAGTGAGCTCCTGAGACTCCATGGATCATCGAGAAGTGATGCTTCTTGAAGGGATCTTAGTCTTACTGACTCCATGGTGATTAAAGATCCTGGCTAAAAGAAACTTTAGTCCTGTGACATCTCTCTCATCAATGTAGCAAGGCAAAGGTGAGCATCTAAATTGTGACTCTGCCTCATCACATATTGGGGTTGACATGAGAGAAGTTGAATGATCCTTATTTTGTCGCCATCCTTTCCTGCTTCCTGGTATCCCCTCCGCCTGGGTAGCACTTACACTCTCCTATACACCGGGTCATCAAGCCAGGATCAAGAAAATAAGTATGTGATTTAATAGGTAGAACATTAAACACTTTGTGGAATGTTTTTAGGTCTAAGCTTGTATTGTCATATGTTATGTTTATTAATGTGCACTTGCTGTACTTCTATGTACAGTGTGGGTAGTTGGCATTATGTACATAACACATTTTAATTATTTTTAATTCCTCTTGCAACCTTTATCTTCTCTTCCCTGTCTCTCTAGTTTCCCTATCAATTTGCAGAGCATTTAGCAGCTTATTTTGTATTATCTGTCTTATTTTGCTATTTAATCTATTAATACTTTGGATTTCACATCTAAGAGAAACAATGGGATATGTATGGTTGTGTGTTGATATATTTCATCTAACATAAGGGTCTCAAGCTGCATTCATTTTCGTACAAATGACTCATTCATTTTTATGGCTTGGGAGTACTCCACTGTGTAAGTACATTTCTTTATATCCATTCATCTGTCCATAGTTATGAGCTGCATCCAATATTGAGTGCTTATAAGTTGTGCTGCTCTGAACATGGCTGTGAATGAATCATTGTAATTAGATGTCCTGAACCCTTTGTGGAAAATAACTAGAACCAGAAGAGTGGAGTCAAGCTGAATTTCTATTTTTAGGTTTTTGCAGGCTCTGCATATAGAGATCCATGCTGGTTGTACTAGTTTCCATCTCTACCAACCAAACAGAAGAGTGTATTTTTCCCCACAGCCTCACCAATATTTCGTGCTATTTGATTTCTATAGGGTGGCCATTTTTCCTGTGAGAAAATGTAACCTCACTGTTGCTTTAATTTGCATTTTTCTCAGAGCTGGTAATACTGAAAATTTCTTTATACATTTACCATTTATTCTTCTTCTTCTAATAACTTATTGTTCTTCTTCTAAAAACTTATTATTCTTTTTCTAAAAACTCTCTGGCCCTTTCATTTACCCATTTTTGATTGACTCTTATTTAGGAGGTCTGTTTATTTTAGAGTTCTTTACATGTTGTCAGCATTAATCTCCTTCCTAATGAGCATGGGGCAAAGAATTCTCCTCGTTCTACATTTTGTTTTTTCACTCTTTCAGCTGCATCTTTAACTACACAGAAGCATTTTAATTTAATATAATTTAATTTGTTGTTTCTTGATGTTATTTCTGGTACACTGGGGTTCTGTTCAAAAAGGCTTTATTTATTCTTATGCCCTCAAAATTTTATCTATATTATTATCTACCTGAAGATTAAGTGCTTCTGTATTAAAGTCCAGGCTTTTGATTCATATTTATTATATTTTACTGTATGATGAGAAATACAGGTTTAGGCTGAATATTCTCACTGTGTAGCCAGTTTTCCTAATGCTATCTGTTAAACAGGCTGTCTTTCCACCAAGCACAGATATTTGAGGAAGCTCTGTACATTTAATCTGTCCAATTATTGAAAACAGGCTCACACAGAACAGTTTTTGTGCAAGATCCTTTCTGTTGTCTTCCTCACATGCTCTTCTAGTCATAAGAATCCAACCTCACACACAACCCTACCCCAGCCAAGTACAGAACACAAACCATTCTCCATGTTACACAAAACCCAGTGTCTAATGTGGGCTAATGATCTTGTGATATCCGCTTATACTCCTGCTCTCAACCCAGCACCTGATCACAACGGTCATGATTAAATGCTCCACTTCCAGATACCACCTTATAAGTGAAAGAGCCACCACACTTTCATCAGGGTCAGAGTCACAATGGGGAGCCTGATGAGCAGGGGCAATGGCACCTGGCAAGGAAGTGAGGAGGAGAAGAATTCAGCAATCCATGGGTAAAAAGCAGGCCAAGGGAACAGACATTGGGAGAAAGCAGGTCTGGTAAGATGTACAGTTAGTCAGTAGAGAGCAGGCAGGGCAGACCACACAGGAACTCTTTGCAGAGCTCAGAAAAGTCCCAATTCCAAGACTGCAGGTTTAGCTCAGTGGCAGAGTGCTTCATTAGGATCCTGAGAGCCTGGCTTCACTCTTAAATATCCACAAACAGAAGAAACAGATAGAAGAAAGCTCCCATCTTCATCCATCACCAGACCAGTCTCCTCTGAATCTGTGGACATGGATCAGGACATGAGGAGTGTTCAGGGTTCTATACCAGATTCGAAACTCAGCAGCCAAGGATGGCAACCAGGCTTGGGTCTTGGGGACCACAGCAATAAATCACTGAAAACTTTAAGAACATAGCTGATTTCATGTATTTCTTTATTTTGGGTGAATTATTTTTATTCATTATTTTGTGTTTCATATGAGAGATGGATCATTCATACATTCAAATGAAAAATCACAGCATTGGGGACAATTCCTTGACTTACACAGGATGGCTAAGATGAACAGCTGGGGATGTCATGCTGCATCTGATGAGATCTCCTCCACACCTCCTCCATTGGGAAGAAAACCTCTGGCCAGAGAAAGATACCCTCAAGCATTCACGCATCAGGATTGTTAAGTTTTTTGCCAGCAAATGAAGACTTCAGCTCTTGAAATGCTCTAATCAGCTCTCAGACAGGTTCAGGACCTTCACATCACCCGAGGCTTAGGAAGTCCACAAATCAAGTGACATTAGGGCTCATTGTTGGGAGACCACACTCTGTCCACTGATGAGATTTTGCACATGAGCTCAGGTCCATATTCCAGTCTCACCATTTAACACTGTGTATGCACTGTCTCCAATTGTAGAGCAAAATACCATGTAGATCTTACTTTTGCATTGTCTACGAAATTATAGTTAAGACTATTACTCAACTCAGTTCTTAACACTCCCATGCAATTCCCTGAGAGAAACATGATCCTCAAAATTTTGCACTACAAAAACAATGAGCCAGATTTAAGAACAGGAATTCTTCCACAAATGAGAAATCTATAACATAATACTTTACTTTCTTTGCACTGGGGTCCAAGAAGCTCAGTGTTAGAGCATATCCACGGTCATGGGACTTTTTTTCCTTTTAGGATAGTTATGTAGTATTAAAATTTATGTTTATGAAAAGTAAACATTTCAGGACATATTTCTATTGATTTTGATACATACATACACACACACACACACACACACACACACACACACACATACATCTTCAAAAACCTATTTGGTCTTTAGAGCAGGTCCAGCATCCTTAGACATTCCAGGGTGCACTCTGTTCACTCACCACAAACACACCTAAGACTCACTGCTTGCCTACCCCTGCATAAACTCTCTGGATGTTTCACATGTTCATATGCAGCTTTCCTGTAATGAGAACATCACAAACTATTTGAATTGTTGTTTTTCTCTATAGAAAAGGTTGTTTTAAGCTTTGTAGAATATATATCAATTATTCTTGTTTTCATAATTCTGTGGGTTTCTCAAGTGTAGGTGAAGCTCTCATCTTGGTGCATCCCCATTACATCTGTGCATGGCACCGCCCACATCACCAGGTGCTTTACCTGATACCATTCAACATGTCTGTTATCGCAGTAAACACCTGCATACCAAGCAAGTAAAGAAAGGCCACTTCATAGAGAGACAACTTGAAGATCCAGTGCAGAACTTCAACAATTACAAGTGGTCCATGAGACTCATCTTCATCGCTTCTATGCTTCAAAGTACAGTCAGTGCTTATTTCCATTTGAAAGTGGATGCATGAATGGAATTAGTTAGCACATTGCAAGTTTTTCTTCTTCAGAAACAGACTTCTTTTAATTTGAAATTAACTGACTGTGAAGTAGAATATCTGGGGAACCCTTAATTCCTGTGGACTGAGGATCTTCAGTGCTGACATCTGGAAAGCACACAAAGAGGCAGCACACACAGGAGCAGCCTAGAGAGGGGCCGGGAGATAAAATTCTGACAGATGGAAAGGTAAGGGACACAGTCTCAGGCACACCTCTAGGAGCTGAAGAATCACAGATTCCCTTCTAGATCATCCAGAGTGAGTTCATCCTGACAGCATCCTGGCTCTATCACACTAAGGACTGAGATGTACTTATGACCTCCAGAACTGTAAAATGATGACTTTTGAATGTTCAAGACATAATTGCATACAAAGTCTTACTGTACAAATAAAAAAGTAATGTGAATGTCTTTACTGAGTTTTCCTGTAAGACTCTTCCATAATAAAGGATGTAAGGGACACCAATCATTTAATTTTCTGCTGAACGCTGTCACCTTTCTTATCAGGAGGAATGGGCAGACTCTTTATGTAGACAAAGAGAGTGCAACTCCTGTGTCACATGGTAAGCAAATAGCAAGACAGACACTAAAATGAGTTTGTCCTCCAGGGTGAGTCACATATGGAGAATCACTACAACATTCTTGACAGTCATTATGTGCCATATCTTCAAATTAGAAGTTAATGATGGCAACAGTGAAATCTCTTCCAGACCCACATTCAATGAACTGAAGAGAGACCCCAAACTCTAAGCTATCTGTGCAGCGAGCCAACAGTTTCTGATGGAACCAGGATGAGTGGCTGACCTGCTTGATCCTAGCCTGGGCAACACAGTGAACTCAAGGCCAGCCTAAACTACAAAGTGAGAACCTGACTCAAATGCCCCAAACAAAAATAGATTTTAAAGGACTCACTTCCCTAAGAACAATTTTAATTAACTTAATAAGTGAGTATGTACACATATGCATTTATATATAGCTATGTGTACACATTTATAGGTGTGTATTCACTCATGTGTGTATATAAATACAAATTAATATATAAATACTTATATATGGATACATTTCTGCACATAAATATTTATAATACACACATAAATATGTTAACATGTATTCAGACTTACAGTTAATATCTCCATGTGGAGATAGCTAGGACAGTATATTCACCACCGCCCAGGAACTGCATACTTATTAGCTAAGGCACAATCATTTTCCCCTTCTCCACTTGTCTTCAACAGGACACCTACTTCCCTAGCTAAACTAAGCATTTTTTAAAATCTGCCTTCCAATCCTTTTGAAATCTCCATAAGGGGAGATTAATCACTGGGCCAGGAAGCTTACGGGGGAACACATTTTCTAACATCAAAGTAGTTCACCTGGAAATGACAGTTGCTAGAAATGTTTCCTAGATCCACAGTGTTACTAGCAGAAAGTTGCTCTGATGAGCAGTAATTGTGATGTTGGGGTGGTTTCTCCTACTGGGGAAGAGAACTTTGCACTGTCTTCCAATAGAGACTCAGCCTGTAACAATGGAATCCTTGCTCCCGAGATGGATGCCACTTAGACTTTTTCTCTATTGCTTTTCCCCCAAATACACAGGATTTGGATGAGATGAAATTATTTTCTTCTGTTTCACTTACTGCTGATTCCTGTGAGACAGATGAGGAACAGGGCCTTAAGAGTCCAGACAGGTCCAATAAGTGAACTTTTCCACCTCTTGAAGTATTCAGAAATAACACACACACTCAGAAGGTAAAATCATCCAAGACACTTGGTGCACACTTGTAACCACAACACAGTGGTGGCTGAGGCAGGAGAATAGACAGTTGGAGATGAAGCTGGGCGAGTGAACAGCACAGTGAGATGCAGTCTCAAAATCTGGGAAATGAAACAGACTGGTGTGGCTAATTGTGAATGTCCCAGGCTTAAGCCCCAATGCACAAACACACACACACACACACACACACACACACACACACACACACAGAGAGAGAGAGAGAGAGAGAGAGAGAGAGAGAGATGATGATGATGATGATGATGATGATGATGAGCACATCTAGAGATCCTTTTATTTACAATAAAAGCACACATTACAAAATCCTTATTCGCTTATTTTCCCATAAACTCAGTTTCTCAGATATGTAAGGATACACTGCAGCTCTTGAGCTGTCATAAAGCATACCATGTACTTACAGACTGGTATCAGTATGGCTTCATTTTCTCATGGTTTTAGGAAAAGTCTGAAAGTGACCCTCTTTCCACAGTGACCATCTTACATAAGTCCAGGAAATATCAGCCACTGATTTTAATTACACTGGCACATTAAAAATCAGATTCAATAGTGCCATTCTAATATTTAGAACGTCCCTTTAAACTATGGACCATGGCTGCTCTGTATCTGTTATAAAAGTAGAAATGAAAAAGATGATTTATGATTACTCAGAAAAGAGTAGCATAATATATTATTCCTTATTCACTTTATATAAAGTCAAGAGAAATTTTTTTCTTAAAAAAGTTTTGATTGAGGGGAAGGAGCAAAGATGGCAGATAGATAACAACTGGCCTCAGATGCTCCCTGAGATAGTCAACTTAGAATTCAACATAATACAGTGTGTGGAGTCCCAAATAGAAGGAGATGAATTCTCTTGTCCCAAGAAGAAATTGAGTTGAGATGAACCAACCAAACATACAATCCCGGTGCTATTATTGGAACAGTAAAGGTTCAGTGTTCCCGCTGCAGCAGGCGACTTACCAAACATCCAGGGTCCCACCACGACTTGCTGAGCTGTCCAAGGTCCCACTGCTTTGACTCACTGGAGGCACACTTACATTGAGTTTGGGGATCGGTGAGCTGAACAGAGAGCTGAGTAGACAGGGTACCTACATCAACCTGTGGTGAGTGACAGGAGGGGAGCCATTGCATACAAAGGGGGCTCCAGCAGATGACATTCTGGGGCTGTGCAGGACTGGCAAGTACAAGGGGCAGCAGTGACTTCAGTCAGTTGTTCTCTTGCCGAACAGGATTGTTGGAGTGAGCTAGGCCTGGGTCACATGATCTGGCTGAGACCCAATAAGTTATCTGAAATCAAGTCCTTACAGTGGTGGTGCACACTAACCACACTAACCCAGTGGAGCCTCAGAAGTTTGACTGACCCAGAGGGGAGGCGGCGCAAAGTAATATGCAGTTCAGGCCACAGCAGCATGACTGACCTAGGCGGAGGCAGCACAGGGTAATACAGTGCAGGCTACAGCAGCTTGACTGACCTGGAGGGGAGGCAGTGCAAAGTAATACAGTGCAGGCCACAGGAGCATGAATGACCCAGAGGGGAAGGGCCAGCATACGCTGTCCCCGTGTGCAACTCACTAGCACACAGCAGTGGGAAGGGTCATCTAATAAGTGCATTTCAGAAGAATTGCAACCAACAAAGAAAGAAACTGGGGCCTCCTGGAAGAAGTAAAAAATATGGGAAGAGGAAGCAACAACAAAAAGTCCCCAGGTCCCAACCCTGAGAACACTGATCCAGGAAGGGTAAATACTAAGGGAAATGAGAACATCAAACATGCAATATCACACACGGTGCCAGTAGACATAAAGAGACATATTCAGGACCTCATAGACGAGTTCAAAAGTGAAATTTAGCCAAGTAAAGCAAGATGTAAGAAGACTAATAAAAGAGATATTAAGCACCCCTCAAGCAGACACAGATAGAAGAAGGGAAGAACACAAACAAAGGAGAGAACCATTTGATAAAGAACATAAAAAATAGAATATATGAAGCACATTGAAAGAGATTACCAGGAAATTAAAAACTCTATGGAAAGATGCAAATCAGCTTGTAAGAAACTAAGGATAGAGTATCTGAACTGGAGGACAATATTTTAATGTGGGATTATGAAAGGGAAAACTTTTTAAAAATACAAGGAAGCAAGCAATAACAATACAAAGGCTAGAACACAACAAGAGGATCTATAACTTGAGAATAAAGAATGTGAGTTATTCACAGAAATAATTCAGGAAAATTTCCCAAACATAGGAAAAGGATATGATATTCTGATATATGAGGCATACAGAACTATAGCCACATACACCCAAAAGAGAGCTACACCCAGGCATATAATAATCAAGATCCCAGAAATTCAGTATAAGAACAGAATATTAAAAGCTGTTACAGACAAGAAACAGATAACCTATAAAGGAAGGCCCATCAGAACAATGGCAGACTTCTTGACATGAAACATCAAGTTAAGAAGAGCATGGAGCAAAATATTCCAAGTCCTGAAAGAAAATAACCTCCATCCCAGATTGATACACCCTTCTAAACTGTCTCTAGAAATTAATGGAGAAACACGATGCTTCCCAGACAAAGAGAAACTTGGAAGCTCACAAGCACCAATCCAACTCTACAGAGAATACTGAAGGGCATTCTACAGAGAGAGAAAAGTACTAGGATTCCAGGAATAATGAAAGAGAGCCTTCAATGAATGGAGCAGAAAACAGAAGGAAGAAGATAAGCAGACAACTGATGGCAAAAAAAAGCATAACAGAAATGAGGCAGAGAAGATTTTATTCAAAACTGATATGATTGATAATATCAAGTCTGGGAGTCTAAGCAGCTACACTGAAGATGACAAGACTCTACGATACGCATTCTGGTTTGATAAATGCCACTTTTTGAAGTTCTATACTATGTACAAAGTTATGTATGTTTTTATTAATACTGTTATGTACTGATATATACAATTATACTAGGTCTAATGATATAGCCAACTCTATTGGAGACAGCAAGAGGCAACACAGGAACCATGGTAGAACTTTTGTACAATGGTCTTATATGTTTCTTTCATTTCATGTGTTTATAGCAATATGTATGTTTTAAATTGCTTTGTTTTGTTTCTCCCTCTAATATAGAAAAGATAGGAATACATGTTAAGAATCATGCATGTTTAGAATCTATAAACAGTTTATGTGAACTTATCTTATGACACATGATGAAATGAACAGATATTTTGAAGAAAAAGAGACACAAAATTTCTCAGTACTGATCCTGGAGTGTCATAATGCGAGACTCAGGAATAATATTATTCTTTGTTCAGAGTGAAATTAGCCTGTTTGGTTTTATTAAATCTCAACATAATTGAAGGTATGGCTGACTGCATGTGAGTGTATAAGACTAATTAATCATGTTTCTAAGTTTTTGTTTGATAGTTGAACAGAAATGCTTCAATCTCACTGTTTGAATCCCCGCTTTATATGATCTACTTTAGTATCTTAAATAACTATTTGTAAGACACAATCATCAACTAGCGATTTCTTACTCTTTTATTTTTTCTATGAAATTATATATGATTTCCACCCATTTTCTGTTTTGTTTAGTCTTTCTTTAAATTATAATTTAAAAAAAAGACACTACAGT